ATCACTTCTCTGAGTAACTATGTAAACTCCTTCTGTTGCACCTCCATACCTGCTTGGAAAAAGTAGTGTTTCTTCTCCTGTCTCCACATTCAATGTGATTTTTCTCTGTAATTTCTATTTGAAATTCATTCCAAACTTTTTTGGCTGATTTAGTTTTCCATGAAGGGGTAGAGCTGCTGGTTCCACCTTTCCAGCTCACTTCGTATACAAATTGGACTAGTCTCCAGTGAACTGCTCATTCTTATTTACTTAGCAGCATGTGGACACCGGAAGTTTACAATAGTTGGCCTGAACAGCTTAATTGGAGAGTTCCACTGTGTGTATGGAATAAAGAGGTAAAACAAAAGAAAGAAAAATCACAGATAGCTGTCTAAAGCATCAGAAAATCAGCAAACCAATTAACAATCAACTTATAATGTAGCACCAGAAATTACACGCAGGAAGGCCTACAAACTCGTAACATTTTACTTGCGTAACAGTCAACATAGAGAAAGGGTACTAGTTAAGATACTGAGAGAGAATGGGAAAGACGTCTAGGCTCATCTCATCTCCTAGACTTGTCTTTTGGAATAGGGTAAGAAGAAAAGGGTAGGAAAAGAGAATCCTAAAATATATACTCATCTCAAATCCCTCAATCTGAGAAGACTCCAAAAGGATGTTATGTTATCTTCAAGAAAATAAGAACTCCTGAATTGTAGAAGTCCTTTATTTAAAGCAGGAAGATAGATAGACAAACAGACAGACAGACATATCGATTTTTTTAAAGAGAATAAAGGTAAAACTTACAGCTTCCAAAAATGAATGCTTCCTCATAATTTAATTTTCTATCATAATAAGCAAAAATGCTGCATCATGAGAGTATGAAAAATGAAGCAGAGGTTGTAAGGAAATAGGAGTCTCCGGGTAAAGGGAGGAGAGGAGCTGCAGTGGTGACCTCTTCCCTACATACAGAGAACCAAAGCCAAGGGGAGTCCATTACCTGAGCCCTCAACTAGATTTATGGACCAAGAATGACGACTGAAGATAGGTCAGAGAACTTGAAGAAAGGGCACTTCTACAACAGATCGACTCTGGTTGCAGTAAAGATTCCCTAGATGCACCTGGATTGAAGAAGTTTCTACAGTCTGGTGCTCTCAGCATCATTACCCATAGCTTCAGATAAACGTCTTCATCATAAGAGCCTTTTCCTCGTACTGGGAGAGCAAAGCAGAGAGAAGAGATGCAGCTGACTCACAGAAGCAGGCCTTTAAATCCACGGGTGAGATGCTGGCAGCATCTTTTGATGTTACATTGGAGAGAATAAGAGACCAAAATAAGGGACTTGAAATGCAAATCATACCAACTACGGAACAGGTCTCAAAAGCAATTATCCCAAATTAGAACAGGCAGTGAGACAGCTCCAGAAAACAAATCTGTACGAGCAGGACTCAGACGGCTTCCAGGTAATTGGAGGTTCTAAAAAGAACAGCTACGGCATAGTAGAAATGGGATCTATTCCAAGTAGTGGGTAAATTGTGTGAGAATCTGGCAGTCATCTTAGGCAGAAGAATGTATTTCTTTTCCCTTTGAGGCATATGAATAATTTCACTATAAACAGCACCAAAAAAATGACAGTTATGTGATGTGAATAAGTTGAGCCAGATTCAGATTAATTACTGTAAAGAAAGGAGCCCAATTTAACCCTGAACATTGACCTTTTTGTTATTGCACCAAAGATTACTTACATTTGAAATGATACCTGAGCTCTGAAGGGGGAAATGGAATCTTAGAGCATCACCTGCTCAGTAGTGAATGAACAGCATCTTCCTAGTCAATATATTAAAAATGATCTATTGTTTACCAGCTTACTAAAACCCAAAGACAAAAAACAAAATTTCATAATAAATTCAAGATTTAAGCTGGTCCAAAAGCTGTTTCAGATTTGATACATTCAATATAATAGACTATAAATGATTGCATAAAGCCCCAAGTGAATATACACTTAATGTTGTAGTGAACAAAGAAAGGAATGTCAAGTTGTGGCATATAGAAATTTTCAAGTTACATTTTCAATGCATGCATTGTATTTTTCATGCAGATTAGGCAGGTGCTCTTCCACCATGCTGCTTTCACAGCCTTCTGTCATATTTCTCCATGCACCGTGTTTTTATTCTCTGCTTGTTCGTGTTCATTTTCTTCCCTTTTGTTTATAAACGTTTTAGAAGTTGTCACCTTGTCTTACTCATCTCAATCCTAACACATCATACCTTCATAAGCCTCTAATGATCTTTGTTGGACATGAAAGTTTCAGGTTCTTCCAGGTACATGGGCCTTAACCGCAAAATGTCAGTGAGCATGTCTGACTTTCAGTCTCAGACTGTTATTGAATTGGATCCTCTGGGTATAAACTCAACAAAACTAAAGGACTCTTCACATGAAACACAAATTAATTTCAGGCTATAGGAGAAACTTTTAGTGATTCTACCATTATCCTCAGCTTATCAGCAACAATGTACACACAAATCCCACTTTAAATAAATGTCTTGCTCTCAGATATAATATATGTGCTTCCAGCTGAGCTCTGCAGAAATCAGGATTTTAAGGTTTTGGAGTTTTTTTTTTTAAGACTATGAAAAGAATAGCAGATAACCTCAGTCTCCCTCCCTCATGGTCTCACAGTGGAGGGTCACAATCCCACAGTCCCATGTTCCTGAGTAATACTGCATATATAAAAGCTAGAGGTTTCAAAAGTTGTTGTAGTAAACATATAGGTTGGCTTGTGATGAGGACACTTGAAAAGCAGACCTAAACTTTTGATCTGGAAATTCCACGAATGGTATCTGTTAGGCTTAATTGCAATCATTTTTGATACTTTGAAAGAAAGAAAGCTACAATAAATGTAATTCATGCTGCTTTCATGTGACACCGTTTGCTGTTAGGTCTCGAATGTATGTATGTTTTCTCACTGGTGGCAATGTTGTGGGAAAAATACAGCAATCTGATAGTTTCATGTGAATCATCTTTGGAATATGTACAGTTTGTTTATAGTAGATATTCGGTAGCAAAAACGAAGACGAAATGGAGAAAAATAATTGCCCTCAGTGATAAGGCTGACATTTTTATTAAGTTAAATGATAGAGTATTTTAGAGTGGGTTGAAGCTAAGGGTTGCCTCCTCTTGTGCAGCCCAGCAAGGAGAATGTTACAGTGCTGCTGATAATGGTAGGACTCAATTATCAAATTCAACATAATTCACATTTCCATGGACAACTACAACAGAAAAAAATCTCTACAAGATAAAGGAATTTAGGCAAGACTAACCCAAGAGAAGTACTCCACAAATGAATAAAGAATACATGGGAAAACAATCAGCCACTTCAAGATTCATTTAATATGGAAGGCAAGCCCGAAGATCTGAGTTTGGTCCCTGTCACCCACATGGTGGATGGACAGACTGACTCCTCATGTTATCCTCTGACCTCCAAACACACACCATGGCAAATTCACAATAAATAAATGTAATTTTTCTGAAAAATAAAATTATTTAAGAATTAATGATTTCTTATTCACATGGACCCACTGTCTTCTGAACATTGAAAAATCACACTTTGGAAAAAGTTCTTTTGCCCTCAGGAAGGAAATAGTCTAAGAGAGAATAGGTGTACTTAGGCCTGAAAGTGGCAGATTCCAGACATTCCTGAATGCAGGAGATTCAATACCTGGCCACAATTTCTATTAGCATAACAAAGTATTAGAATAGTTTTGACCCAATTTGGTATTATTTTAGAGCCTGACTCCTCAAGAAGAGCCAGATTGAATTACCTTTGGAGTCCCTTTAAATCTGGGATCCTGTCAATCATAGATTTGTGTCTTGATTTCAGGCTGTTCCTTATCCTGGACTTCAGTTCTTGGAACCTTAATACCCTATTTATGGTTTCTTCTACTGAAGACTATAAAAACAGTTGTAAAGAGTAAACCTTTTCCAGGCGTGATCATAAACCCTCACTAAGAAGCATTTACTGGTCACTGATGCATACAGAACACATAGTCATATATTTAACTAAAAAGATATTTTTAAACTGAACAGCCAAAGCTTGGTACAAAAAGAGCCTAAGTCTTTCAGCATAACTGGCTTTCTTGGAATGTCCTAGTGTTTTAGTCTTGGCTTCTTCTGCAATCATGACTCTGTGTCCTAAATTCTTTAAAAGTATCATGGAAAAAAATGTGTCTTTGTTAAATTTGTCAGCCTGTTCATATCTCTTAGAAGCACTTCTTTTTCTTAAGACATTGCATGTTTCTAATATAGTAGCTGAACTCATGTGGTAGATGGACACCTTGCAAGCAAAATAAACTTTATTATTCTCCTATGTGCTTAAGACAATGTGATTCACCTTTAAAATAATACAGTTCTACTAGAAACATCAGGAAACCTAAATAAAAATCTGTTGGAGTTGTTAAAATAACTTTCTGAACAGGGAAAAAACAAATCGTGTAGGAAAAGATAAACTTTCATGTCTCAAAAGAATTTACCCTTAAACGCAATTTTTAATTCAAAATAATTAGTTTCTGAAGCTGAAGAGTTTGATGTAACAATTAATCCTTTGTTCTCTGCTTTTTCCCATGTTGCATGAATTACTTTCCCTTGATTTATTAGAAGAGAATAAATAATGCCAACAACAAAGTCCTCAGCTGATTATCACAGGATAATTTAATTTTAGTTTTGTTTTTGCTCTTTTGGGAGGGGTATTTTTGTCTTATTTTGGCTTTGTCTGTGTGCCACATGTGTACAGTGGCCCCAGGGGTCAAAAGAGGACAATGAATCCACCAGTACTGGAGTTATAGACAGTTGTGAGCTGCCATGTGGGTGTACATAATTAAATCTGGTCCTCTGCAAGAACAGCCAGTGCTCTTAACCACTGAGACATCTCTCTAGTCCCTCATGGGCTAATTTTAATTGTATCCAGGTGTAAATTACATTGAGTCAGTGGAATGTGTAATGTTCCCTTTCTTTTTCTTGCATAGGCATTTATGTCCATGTTCCAGATCCTGACCCAGGAAGGATGGGTGGACGTGATGGATCAGACTCTGAATGCCGTAGGACATATGTGGGCACCAGTGGTCGCCATCTATTTCATACTCTACCATCTGTTTGCAACTCTGGTGAGCTTATCATTTCCTTTAAGTTTTATCTTGAAGCAATTAATGGGATGAAGGTCACCGAATATTTGATGCATTGTCAATTTCAAAGTAAGAGTCAATAGAAGACTGCAAGACATCCCGTTGGATGAGATTCCTTCCATTCTTAAGGCTACAAGTCAAAGAACTTCTTGAGGATTATATTTCAGGTTGGTTAATGAGAAGCCCCTGGTTTCCATCAGGTCCATGTGCTTGCATGGGGGGGGGGGATACAAAACAAAACAAATGGGAATCCAATAGTCACACATCAGTTTAACTTCCCTCCACATTCTATAGTCACATCTATAGATCAGACTTGAACTACGATATTGTTGTATTTTTTTTATCATGTACTAATGTCCCTCTTCAATTTCAACACATCCTCTTCGCAGCTGTGATTAAACTTGAATCTCAGGGTACGGTTAGCTAATTAAAAATCTGTGGTGTTTCTGTACTGTGTGCAGTGCAGGGAAGCACGGGAGAGAAAATAAAATGCATAGCCGAAACTCCTCTGAAAGCGCAAGAGAACAGAATGCCAGAGTTCAGGCAAGATTTGTTTCTGTCATCCGTATAGATTACTCTCTTCAATCACAAAAGATTATTTCCACTTTGTACTAAGCACAGAAAAAGAGACTGCCGCTACTACACTAAAGAAGTAGTTCCCATGCCTTCTTACTACCAAATGTGCATCTATTCCCATTTATTCTTATTCTCTAGTAGGATAATAACATATGTTATCCTTTTTCAGGAATGAAGGAAATAAAATCCACTGCCACCATTTATCATGTGGCAAAATGATTTATAATATTAGTTTTGATATCTAGGACAATCAATAAGAAAATCTTATAATGTAGTTGATGATGAAATTGAGGCTCAGAGAAGTTTGGGAATTTGCCTAATACCACTCTAAGTATAAATGGTAGTCCGACTCTTCCCATCTCTAGATGGTCTTAAAAGCTAAAGTCATATTGCTTGCTTATTGCTTATATAATGAAGGTGAAATTTGCCACTGAGCATATCAAAATCAAGTTTGAACTTGAGAAAAGACTCACTCAAACAACACAAACTGCTTGCCACCTCTAATGTCCTCCAATTATAAATTCTTAAGAATTAATAAGTACTTGAGAAGTTATGTGTGATGACTTAAAAGTGGCCTCTACTATAGACAAAGGCTTTCGAAACTGACATATGACTACTGAAACAGAGATACTTGGTTAAGGAGTGTAAAGTCAGAGGTTCAAATGGTGCAATTATATAGGAATCGCCTGAACATTGCTTACATGAAGTTGAATTTATAGATAACCATGAGGGCTAAGGACCCTGGACAGAGGGAATGGGACCTGGCTTCCAGAGCTGGTGTATGGCTGTGCTGGAATGTGTGCCTTGTTTCCAGGACTTTTGCACCCTTCCTAGCAGCATGTTTAAGTCTGTGTTTGTGTCACTTGTTCATCTATCAATCAGTCACTCATTCAGTTACTAACGCATTTTACTAATGTTTAGTAATCACCTACCATGTTCTTGGATCGCTCTCGCATTGGAGAAGCTTGAAGACTATTGACCGTAGGTTGAATGTAGGAGAGATTAAATGGACATCAACAATTCATGTGAATAGTAGTCTAGTTGACTTCTGATAGTCAATCTAATTATTTTTGCTGCTAGATAATATAATTGCTTGCTGTCCTCATTACAGATTATCACACTCACTCAAACATACATTTGAGTAACTCAGAGTCACGAAGGGTAAAAACTAGAAGAAACTCTATCTATCCTGGTACATTACCTAGGAAAGAAATTTTTAACTGAAATTCTACAGGGATCACTTAGAGAATAAATGACAGTGTTAAAATTTCCAATTAGTCTTTTGGGGCAACCTAAAACTTTAATGGGTCCCCAAAATGGCATAAATTATTAATTATTGCTTAAGGAACTCAAAGATTAAAATCTACATTTAATTCCATTCTTTCTTTTGCTGATTTATGTGTGTCTAAAACACATATTACTATTTCTCATTATAATTTCTTAAATTCTTAAGTTAAAAACTAAGCATTGAAATCATTTGTTATTTTATAAACAATGTTTTTGAAGTCTGTAAAGTAATCAAGAATTGAAAAGACTTTGTGTCAGCAAAAAGCAGTTTAGTGAATATGGTGCAGGCAAGAACATGAAGTTGGAGTTTAGAAACCTAGATTAGCCTTACGGGTCATTAGAAATGGGACTTAACTTCCTTCATGGTTTTTCTGGGTCAAACCTAAAATTAAGAATAATAATGCCTAATGGAAGTAGTTCCCAAAGTTCCATGAATGTTAGCTATCTTTGCATTATTGGAGATTCTTTGTCCAATGGCAAGGCTCATTCCTATTTTATAGTGATTAAAAGTAAATGTCTTCAAATCAATGAAATGCAGAGAGATTTACCACATATATGCATCTATAGAATGTATACATATATACTGTTTTTAATTCAAAGTTATCATCTTAAATATGTTTGGTATTGTAAAGTTAAAAGATTATTATTAATGTATTTTAGTTTGTGAGGCCCTGCTCCACATGAGCTGTTAGCCATCACCATACTGAAAGCAAGCTATATGTGCTCATGTGTTTTTCCCCTGACATGCCAGTGAGATAAATGAATCTCAGAATAAATGTATCAAGCTCGATATGTATTCTGCAATTACACTTATTGCTAATTTTCTATTTATTTTAACATACACAAAACTAATTCCTAGGTCATTAGAATGTATGGCGGGTGCTAGTTCATAGCTTATTATTCTTCTCCCCCAATGATTGTTGCACTGCTTTCCAAAGGCTGAGGCTTCAATGCCACAATACATCAACACATTATGCATAGTCACATGAGACTTTGTCTAGGATATATGCCCAAGTTTGGATCTTGTCCCCATACCTCTAAAACAGGAATCTCCCAAGCCAAACACCAAATCTGGTTCACCATCCAGCTTTGTACAGCCTGTGAGTTGCAATGGTGTATGTATCTTCTGTATCTTTTCATGGTTGTGTGATTAGGTACTCACCTAAGACCCTTTATGTCGTCATATGGCTCCCAAAGCCTGAAGCATTTACTAAATGAGAAAAGTGGTAGGACCCTCCCCTGAAAGAAGACCACAATCATTTACCCTCCAGAGTATCATAATTCAGAATTCCAATGTTCTTTCACACTCATTTATGCTTGATAGTGTATGTTTTTTTAATGTTTTGATACTTTTATGAGTTATTGGTACATTATTTTACCTTACTTTGCATTTTAACATTGGTGTGAGTATTGAGGGGGAAATTTCCTATGTGCTCATTGGCCTTCTTCTCACCCAGTAACTGTTTTACAGGTGTTTTAAGGGCTAGGTTCTCTTTTCCAACTTCATTCGTAGGAGTGACACATGTTTGAACTTTAATCCCTTACTATAGCTAGTGCATTTGTGTAAGTCTGTCTTCTTTGATGGTATTTTTGCTATTCCAATTTGCCTATGATTTCTTTTGATGCTAAAGCAATCATTTCTGAAAAAATAGTCAATACTTATGTTTTATTCATGCTTAAAACATTCTTCCTGAGATTATACCTGCCTGTATATTCTCATGATTTAAATTTTTACTTCTTTTCCTTAGATCTTTTACACATTCTGACTTAAAATGTATATGTAGTAAATGTTAAATGAAATGGTTAAATGAAACTCAAGTCACATTTACTCCACCAGATATATGTGAGAATTTCAATGCATTAGCATATTTACTTGGTTTTCTCCAGTTATTAAATATATGACAAAAGATTAAATAATTAGGCTTTCAATTTTATAAATAGTGGTTTAATGAGGTAATTAGCTTAGTGAAAGAAAATACTCTCTGTCACTAAATTATAAACAAAAGTAACATTTATATATTACCCCAATATTCTAACTAGTCTAGTTGTTTCCTGCATCTTACAGAGACTTTGCTTAAGACATGATCATCCTCTGATTTTCATTATCTGAATACTCTTAGCATGGCAGTCACTCAAGTGTTAGGTTATTGTTAGGTTAGTCCTGACTCACTTAGCATGGTTTTACTGAATCTCTACAATTATATGTAAAAGATTCAAAGTGGTAAAGATCTTAACCAAAACTAGTTAGGTCTCATAACTACTCAGGAATTATCAGTAGTCAACACAAACACATCAACAAACATTGAAGACTGATCATTCAAGGACTAGTTTAATGACATGATACCCAGCTCCTGTATGATCAGTGCCCACAGGGTCAGCTATGCTTCCTAGTTCTCCCACATCAACCTCATTTGAGGTTAATGTGGCCATTCAAATATCTAGTGATGGCTATTAATTCATTAATTATTTTCAGAGATAGTTTTGAGATGCATATATCAACATGTGCATGGGCCTGTAGAATAGATAAAAGTATTAAAAGGTTAAACTCACAGATCTGCCTGAGAACTTGAGTTTATGCCAAAATGAGAATTTTTGGTTAATTATTTCTTTCCTGTAGTAAGTATTATAAAAAAGCAACTAACTCAATTTGGGAGATAAGTTGACAGAAATGTGCAAACTCTAATTAGTAATTAGTCCCCTAGTCAATGTGATTAGCGGTTCCTGATCCAGCTTTCTAAGGGACAGAAGAAAAGCAAAATTTAGCTGCAGCAAGTTCTGGAATAGCACCAGGCCAGGATGTTGTATGCTCCTGGGGGCACCAATTTGTCCGCTCACCATGACAATCAAGCTACAGTGTACAGAAAAAACATATTCATCACTATTATCTATTGTTCCATTAAATGCTTTTTCCTGCCAGGTACGTGTTCAGTATTTCTTTCCTAAGTGATTTCTGTTTGTCATATGTTTGTTGACTTTTTCTTGTCACCCACTTTTGCTGGTGATTTGGAAGTAGGGACTATGGAAGTTTTAAACAGTTGAAAAGACTTTCTTTTCCTGCCCCTTTGAAGGTTTTTTCCCCTCTCCTTTATTATTGTCTCAAAAGAAAGCCCTGTGATGTG